TGACAGCACTTCAGACAGCAGCTTTGTGCCCCGCCAGCTTCTTGTTCCATGCCTACCATGGTGTTTTTGTACAGACAGCACTTCAGACAGCAAGTATGCTGTAGTCGGCAATCATTCGTTTTGGTACAGAGTGGGACAGGTAGGGGGTGATGTTGCTGTAGTCGAACGGTGAGACGGACGTGTAGTTCAGTTTTGGGCACGCGTACGGTGCTGCAGGGATTATATATAGGTGTAGTAGTACCTCTTCGGGCGCTTGGATACCTTTTTCTTGCTACGTGTGCGTGTTCTTTAGATCCTCAGATGGCTCTAGCACTTTCGTGACCACGGGCTGAGAGTCTTTGCTAGATTTTGGCATGTAGCAACTGGCATACAGTTTAATGTGAAGTCAACAACAACAACAACAACAGACAACCTGGAAGAAGAGAGTAGCAGTCGATTACTGTTGTCGGGTGCATGCAGCTGCAACGGTTTCATATTGGCCAATTTTCTCGTCATGAGACTGAACGAGAGCTTTCCGAGCTCAGAAGGAAAGCGATTCCAAAAAGACCAAATTCTTCGCTTTGTTGGGATCGGTGCTACTGTTTTTTTCTTCCTATCTTTGTTTTGGTTGTTAGCTGGAAAACCGTACTTGTAGATACCTGTGGGTATTATTCCATCCACATCATTTCGTGTGAAGATAGAATGAATATATGTCGAAAATACGTTGGTGGGGGACGAGCAAACGACCGCATCGTCGCGGCATTTTCTGAAAGCAGGTGGTTGGCGCGAGAGAAGTCCCTGCCGTGCAGAAAGCCGCTTCGTCGGTGACCTCCCTTCCTTCTCCGGGATTGAGCGGCGAATCGTTTCAGCCGTTGAGCGCCATTGCGAATAGCTCGAGCCTCTCGCCCTTGTTCCGGACGTTTCAGGACGACGAAGACCAGCTAGACCGGTGAGAGGCGAGACCGAACGTCCGTGTCCCACCAACATTATGGAGTATTCCGATCATTTAAAGGAAGGACCTTTCATTTCGACCAAGGTTTTAGAGGGTATCGAAGACATTTTTTCACGTGGTGTGTGCATAGTTGTAGCTTTGTTCGCCCTTGTCTTGATTTCATCTGTGAGTGTTTTTCGTGTCCACCAGGGATTGCGTTTTTTTTAACTTTCATGGAAGAAATTTCCAACGCCTTCGGGTTACTGGTGCGTACACATCGAATCAAACAGGCAAGTCCCGAATTCGGAACAGAACATCATCATGATGAGGAGAATAAATTCACTCCATTCACTCTGACAGGTCTGCGTTGTCTCCTCGTATACTCGTTAGTCTGTTGCAGAGATTCGACCGCCAAGACTTTTGATTGCGTCGTCGCTTATCCGGACCGACAACATGCTCCAAGACTTCGGGAACGCGATCCTCTCCACAGAGCGATTGTCATGATGCGGGAGTGGATGCCGCACACTCCAACCTACGCATGACCCGAGTGGGATGAATGTATTATGTGAAGTATGGTTCCTGGTGTGCACGCGGTCTCCGGCAATCGACAAAGGCATGTCCGTGCACGTCATTGTCACGGGCCCGAAAAATGTCGTGAGTGATTGTTGTGGCAAGGCGAACGGGAAATAGATACTGTGCAGTGTAGCCGATGGGTGGTTATATTGAACGAGTGGGTATTGCATGGCAATTCACTCGTCACCGAGGCTTCTGTGCCGAAAGTTGGTATGAGGGTTATTTCTCTGGACCTTGGGTGATGCGAACGCCTTCATATATTTAGTGCGCTTTAGTGTAGATTATAAGTATGAGAGTCTATCTATTGCTGTGCCGACGTGTGTGTTTGAGACTATGCTCTGTACTTTGGCCCTCGAGACTAGGGACCCCGACTGGCATTGCGAATCTGTATTTGGACAACCGTGAAGGATAGAGCACAGGCTCGAGTCTGATCGTTCCCTCAAGTAGATTTGGTAGGAGATAGCAGTGTAGTAGAGCAACTCGACCAGACACCATGGGAACCCCCAAGCGAGAGACCGTAATCCCGAGCGCGGTCACATGTGCCTACCGATTGCAAAACTTTGCACAGAATAGGTTGTGCTGAAATCAAGTCCCGATTGTTCGTGGAGACGTCGCTAAAAAAGTGTGAATTGTGTGAACCCAGTAGCGGACGAACGTTCAAGCGAGAGCCTACAAACGAATGCATGACTTTCCGTCCCAATCGAATAAGAGACGAAACAGGTAGGGAAACTGACTTGGCGAAAGGGAAAGAATCCTGACGAAACCGTTTTTTCAGCTGGTCTTCCGTTCACACGGGATTTTCGAAACTTCCGCCTGTCGAAAAAGAGGGCATTGATAGTCCGTTCGATCGCAATCCAGTGAGTGGGGTCGACGAAATAGAGGCTGCTCGCATAGCCAATACGCTGGCGGGTCCACACAGCAAAATAAGACTTCGGCGGGCCACTGAAATCAGACAACTCTCAGCCTGAAGACGCGACGAGGAGTCAACATCTAAGCGTCCATCTAAGCGTCCTCAACATCTCAGCGTGTTATCCTCGGCCGTCAGCAGAGCTCCGAAAACTATAGTCTGGACAGCTGCAGTATCACAAACATAATTACCCTAAGACCTTCATGTCATGAGAATCCGACTTCTTGTCTCGCACACACGTAAAGCGGGATGCACGCTCGAGTGGTGTGTTAACACGGCAGTGCGACCCCCCCAAGCACCTTCGTACCGTACCGCCGCATGCATCGAGCCCTCAGCCAAAAGCGACCCTTCGCCGTAACCGAAAAAGAAAAAACCAAGCACAACAACAACACTTCCAGACTCCACCTATTCAGCAGGTATGCAACCCACAGCGAAAAAGCAAACACGAAACAACCGTTCCAGACTCCACCAATACAGCAAAACGCAACCCACCGCACGAAGAGCCTAGTCGCTACGACGTTGTGAACTCAGTTCAATAATGTCAAGCTTGTGCCGAAACCTTCAACAAGTGGCCGCATGCGTAAGAGCCCTTGATGTTTCAACAGAAAATGTACATAGGACCACTGAATGGCGTACCCGTTTGATGCAATACCACAGTCGACGGGGTTGTGCTCAAGCAGTGATCCAAATCAACGAAGTACGAAAACGCACAACCAAGAGCCCTGATGCAGGCGGTCGACTGCACTGCTACAGCACCCACTCTGCCCGGGACCACCATGCTGTGCAACTCACCGAGCGGCACGAGTAGAGCATACGAGCGTCTCGGAGACAGATCAAGATGTACACAGCACTACCTTTTGCCATGCGGGTAAAACCCGAAAGATTCCGGATACTCAGCGGGAAAATAACGACGGGTACGCGGCGGAGACATACACGAGCCACCCCACACAACCTAGAATACAGAAAAGTCTCAGCCACTGTAGCCCGCCGGCAAACGAGACACACCCGGGCTTCTCCTCTCTATCCAAAAATAAAACGATTCCGCGAATGATGGAAATGACGCGAGCATGACCCCACCCAACCCCCCAGTGCTCCTCGCTGAGGCCCCTAGGCCCCGAATTCCGTATGAAAAGCTGTCGGCAGCTGATGATCAGCGCGAAGACGGCACAGCTGGTCTCGGAGGTGTCAGCGGTCGAGGCCATTCCTCCGATAATCTGCGAAACACAAACGGGGTGCGTGTGTGTGTGTTTTTTTACATTTTCATGGACCACGCTACTCGGCTGACTGACCAAAATACACCAGTCTTGTGGTAGTGAGACAAAGAACACGGAAAGCGCGCGTGTGTGTGTGAGAGAGAGACAGGGCGAGGGAGAGATAGACAGAGAGACAGAGAGAGGGGGGGGGGGGGAGAAAGGGGGAGAGAGAGAAGCGGCGCACAGCGATCAACTTCCGCCGTAATCCGAGCACAATGACATCAAAGGAGCATAGCTTCGCCTTAACGGCGCCTGCGATGGTGACGAAACACGCTCATGGACACACCAAGCATAAGGGCACGCTCCCGGTATATCGACTGGAGTCGGGAGAGGAGGAGGACACATATGCCCACATATTCGACGGGCTCAAACGAAGCACCGCCGACAAGCAGAACACAGCTAACTCACACATGGCTGTTGCTGATACGACTTGACGATAAACACAATTTACCGTCCGGGTACATCGAAGCACACCGTGGAAAACAAAACACACCAGTCACACCTGCTGTGATGGGCAGCCCCAGTAGCCGCCCGGGCGCCGAATGAAGGTGCGTCTGTTCCACCGGCGGAGTACCTCGTACCCGTCGTAGCCGTCGTGCCGCTAAGGCCGAACTCGTCCTCGCCTGCGTCTCTGCTCTCCGGCCAGGTCGGAGGAAAGAGACATTGCCACGGTATACAGGGGAGCAACAATGTGCTGAGAGGTGGCGGATCGCACATGGGACGAGGGTCGTGCATTAGTCGTGAAGCAATAAACGCAGCATCACGCCGATTGCGCATTGCGCTTTTTCAACTGCTGCGGGCCGGAAGAACACGAAGAATGCGTGTAGTGTCATTCACCGCACAGCATCAAAACCATGTTGAGCGGCCTCTCTCCCTCTGAGCTCCAATGCCTAACATGGTAGTCGTGTGCGACATGGGAAAAAGAAAGACGCCGCAGCCAAAGCCGTTTAGGCGTAAGCCGCCGTGGTGATTGGCAAAGAGAAGGCCTCACCTGGCTTCCGTCATAAGCCTCATAGCCTCCATGTTCATGGCGGACATCCCCCTCAGGAGAGTTCGCCGCATGCCCTCCTCCATCTCCCGCTGCCTCGCTTTCTCCTGTCGCCGTTTCCATACACACGGCACCGGTTCATGCATACATGGGTCTGATAATTATCGGCCCGACCCCAAACTTTGAATCTTGCTACACTGCTGCACTGGTAGGGGCGGTAAAAAAAATATTTTAATTTACTTCGCGTAGCCACGGAGCGTCGGGCGTACTCAAGTAATCACGAGAGACCCAAACCATCGACCTCAGAAACAGCAACGGCAACCGTCAGCACACGACACCGACCACCTACTAACAGCACACAAACGGGGGCGGTCAACACGCGAGTTGGGCTACGGCCGATACAAGCTCGACTGCCGCCCGAGAGATCGGCTAGTTAGAGCACACAACTGACAATCTCTATGGAGGTACCCCAACAGCGACACCGTCAGTTCAGGTTTCTTCACTTCACTGAGCACCTTTTGTTTTGGCCGACTTGTTTATCTATCTACTCTTTCGTTGAGGCCGAACTTCTATACTCCTAGCCGCTTAAGCGCGGGCGCCACCTCTAGACCAAACAATTTCGATGGCTAAGAACGCCAAGCGCGTGTCGACCACCGCTACGAATAGTATCAGGCGAGCCTCCCCCCAGTCTCCCTCACCAGGGCTATCTGGCTGATGGCATCGTCGAGAGCTGCCCGTGTGCTGGATAGCTCCGTCTCATAGCGGCCTTGACATCGCATACCATCGCACCGCGTTGTAAGAAACAGATATCCAAGGGCGTCGAGGTTAGGAAACAAAAGCTCGATCGATACACACACATACGGTCGAGAGAACAATCATGGCAATGGGGAGAAACGCTGCCCACATACTGAAAAGCGTGAGATGGAACAGACGAGGGTAGCTCAACGGGAGGAAGCGGGAAACTCAAGGAGGGGCAGAGACAGAGATTCACCAAAACCATCTCAACAAGCCAAGAAGGGGAGAAGAGCAGTCCCGAAACCCCTCAAAGGTGATAGTTGCCACCGAAGCCCGGGGAGGATTTCTCTTTCGTAGCTCGGAAGTTTGTTGTTTTACTTCCACAACAGCGAAAAACAATTGAAACCGCAAGCGAATCACAACGAACCTCAAGCATTGACCACGAGTTAACCATAAGACCCCCCGATGAAAAGCGTAGGCTGGCTGCCGTTCCCAACACCATCACTAGAGCTACACCACAATAACACAAGGCAGACGGGTATACACAGTACCACTAGTTGTCAGCACGCAGTAGCTGTGACCCTTATGATACATCAACATCAAACAACCCCCAAGAAAGAGAACGGACCTACGCACGAGGCGCTCGTGGATACAAGAAAACCACGTGCACCCCAACAACAACGGCATGCCAAACACAACAGCAACAACAGGGCGTCCAGGGCGAGTCACCTATGATCTCCTTCGAGATAGCGTGCAGCTTCAGGTCCGCCTCCCTCCTGCCCCTGCTGTTGATGCGCTGCCGCGTTTCTCCTCGCCAAGCGCCCAGGGTGCGCGACATAAGCTTGCGTCTTTCGGTGGCAGGCGACGGATGCCCCAAACAAGCGGGCAATGTGTGGGGGTGCACGAGAAGGCGCTTTGCCAGCTGGGTAAACGATCTCCATCGTCATCCGAGAATATCACAGGGGGTGGGGGTGGGAGTCAACCATGATCGTGCGTTTGGGGGCAGGGTAGTTGGGGGGGGGGGTTATCGAATCTTGTTTCGGATCAGATAGTCACAATACTTCACCGCGTCTTCCGAGTTGTGCCGGTCAGGAGAATACAGGGACAGACGGTGATGGTGGAGGCAAAAGATCTGTAATAGCTACTCGCCCGAACCCTGGGCTTGCTCCAGCGATACGTGCTAGATCCCACCGCCGTTGAAAGCCCGCTTCGTCCGAGACGATGCCGCTCACCTTTCGGAACAAGTCTATGGAAGGGACGGCAGCCCTACCTTCCTGCTTCCAAAAGCTAAGCCTCCCCTCTGTAATCCACCCGGCATGATCCCACGAAATATTGTGTGTTGCAGTCCCGACCTCGATTGTTCAACACAATTCGCAAAAATCCTCCGCCTCCCAGAGGCATTTTCCGTTCTTCCGCCTCACTGACGTTCACGCAGTTGTTTTGGACAGCTGGTTAGCTGGGTCGATGCTAGCAAAAGAAAACACACACGCGCACAAAAAACATGCTGCTGTGACTCCGGACACAGGAGGCCCGACCTCCCTGGCGCCCCTCTTTTGTCAGGGTGTTCGCGTCTCCTATCCTGCTAGAATAGAACACTAGTGTCATGGCCCGCCGCATTGCGCGGTCGATGCCGGCCTATTATAGTAGATACGCGTACGCACAAGCCTTCCCACCTAAGGATCAACATCGCGTGCGACTCGGCATTCCCTACCGCTCCCGCCAGACACAGTCCGCACCTGGCATGATCGCCAGCGGTAACGTTCTTGGAGCGTTCCACACGCATGCGAGCCGCTTCTCCGCGCCAAGCGCACAGACAGCGAGCTAGGTGAGACCCCCCACGGGTGCGGGCATGGAGGGCAGACAGGCGCTCTGCGAAGACCTCTGCTTTCCCCTCCAGAGCGGAGGTCGCGCTGAGAAATAGTAGCCGTTGTGATGGGTTGGACAGTTGTTGGTGAATCGTTGAGGGTGTAAACCACGTACCAAGCACACGCAAGGATGGTTAGATGCAGGAGCGATAGGTTGGCACCGCCGTACCAGAGCGTGGGGCCTCGGACAAGGAACTACTGTTGTGTATGTATGCCAAAAAAAAAATGAAAAAAATACATCCCCAAAACGAAAAAGAAGGGTCATGTGGGGTGTGCGAAGGAAAAAAACGACGTCGGAGACGAAGAAAACACGCGCTGGCACTCAAAAACAATATCAAGAGGTCTGACTGTCATGTGCTCAGGGAGAAATTGGTACACTTTCCCATCGTGGAAAAGCAGCTCCCAGAGCTCCGTCGGTAGAGCGCGGCTCTGATAAAGCCGAGGTCCCGGGTTCGAACCCCGGTGGGAGTATCGCGTTTTTTCCTCCGCAGATTTTTTCCTGAAACTGGTCATTCGACACATCGACGGCCGCGTCGCTAGATAAAGGCTAAATCCATTAGACTACACAGCGCTGACTGGGTAGTCTGTGCCAGCCGGCCGACCAATGGCAAGACATATGAACACTCGGCAGAATCTCGGGTCCCAAGTGTGGTAGCCTCCGGCGTTCAAGCTAAGGCAACACAGGTGGACAAGCGAGGCAAGAATAAATCTGTCGGCACAACGCCGTGCATCATCATGACAGAATAACCACGAAAAAGAGACATACAAGGGGCACGCCCATCGAGTTTGCAGCAGAACAATGACACTCATAGTAGGCCAAGGACCAACTATTTTGTTGCTTCTGCCAGAAGAAAGTACAACGCGAAACTGACTACTTCACCAGGCACACCTCATTACGCTACCTATGTTGAAGTGTATGGTGTCGAGGTGCCCTGAACCCAAGGGTCGTCTGCAGGCGGTCAAGCCTTTCAGAGTCTGTGTGTTGTTCAGACCGAAGTCTGTTGAGGCAGTGACCGAGGTCGATGTTGTTGCTCGATGCCGCTTCTGGGGCTTGTATTTCTGTCCACTCTTGTTCACTTCACAGCTTACTTCCAAAGTAGAGATGTTGAGGGATAGTTGGGAGTGAGCCTGGTGGGTCTCGCAACACATCGTGATCTCGCTACAACTACAATCTCCAATGATGAACAATCAATCCATTAACGAGCTCCTCGCTAAACCCGTCGCTACATGTTGCGTCCTACTTGTATAAGAACGCACCTTCGTGCAACGTATTGTCTACAGCTCCCAGAGCTCCGTTGGTAGAGCGCGGCTCTGATAAAGCCGAGGCCCCGGGTTCGAACCCCGGTGGGAGTAGCGATGTCTTTTTCGCGCCGATCTTTTTTGTTTATTCGACACGAAACATGCTCCAGGCGGAGGCGATGGAGGCACACTGCTGTACGGCTGCATGACATGGTCACCACTCAGCGGCCACTATCAGACGCTGCGGTCGATACACCACCGACTGCTCCTTCGAGTTATCGGGTACAAGCGCAAGAAAGACACCTACCGGCAGCTCTATTTCGACCAGACGCTGAAGAGGGTCGAATGCCAGAGCGTTTACGCCACGATCCGACAACGACGCCTACTGTTCGCGGGAGCATTGGCAAGGCAGCCGGACGGGCGACTCCCGAAACGACTGATGCTCGGCGAGCTGGCAGGGGGGGAGAAGCGACGTAGGGGGGGGACAGGAACAGAACTGGCCCAAGTGTGTGCTCGATGACCTGAAGGCATTCGGGGCCGACCACGGATCTACGAAAACCGATCCATGTTGTCTCGAAATCTCTGTACCGAAAGACACGGAACCGAGTTAAAGTGGACGGAAGCCGCGAAGGTGGACGGGGGAGTACCCTAGGGAGTACCCTGGCATGCCGCGGTGCTGCAGGGAGCTGAGAGGTTCATGACCTCCTGGCACGAGAAGGAAGCAGAGGCCAGCCGACAACGGGCGCTCAAACGAAACCACAAGCCACCAAACCAATGGGGCCGGAGGGGGGCACGAGACGGACGAGACGGCGAGGGAACAAAGCAAACGAGAAGAGACGGACCGAATGGCGCGATACGTGCCGAATTGAACTTCTTTTAGCCAGTTCCCCCCCCCCCCCAACGCTGCACCATTGCACCAACCCCCACTAGTGATGAGGTACCATTACAATGCATCGCTGGTTGGTGGCCATGTTTGCGTGTTTGCTTGTCGTTAGTGGTCTCTCTACCGTGTGCCTTTTGCTGTCTCTTATTTCTTGTTATTTTCGGCCTGGTCCCTATTTGTCCTCGCTCTTTTCCAATTCATTTCTCTGTCCTTACTGTTTCCTTTTATTTTCTTCTGTTTTTCTCTGTTTTCTGTAATTTTCTCTCTTTTTCTGTGCCAGATGGCCTTGTCTCTGCTTGCGTTGTGAAGCACCAAGATTGAACCAAGGGGGTGTACCTCATTCTCTCCGGCCCGTGATGGTGACTCCTAGTCTCAGTTGTTACCTCGCATCGCGCGCAGAGGGAGAGGGAGTGGAGGACTCCAGAATATCTGTCGTTGATTTCTGTTGATTTGCGGACCCCCTCGGGGCCAGTTTATTTGAGTGTACCGTTTTAGGGTTAGTTAGCCTGCGACCACGGGAATCGACCACGTCGAGTGTTGGATCACTACGGACATACGAAGGTACTGGGAAGAGAGATCGGAACGGTTATCAACGTGAAGACAACAACAACAACAACAACAACAACAATTTAGCGCCATCGACCGCGTCGCTAGATGAAGGCTAAATCCTAAATCCATTAGACTACACATCAGCGCTGACTGAGTAGTCTGTGCCAGCCGGCCGACCAATGGCAAGACATATGAACACTCGGCAGAATCTCGGGTCCCAAGTGTGGTAGCCTCCGGCGTTCAAGCTAAGGCAACACAGGTGGACAAGCGAGGCAAGAATAAATCTGTCGGCACAACGCCGTGCATCATCATGACAGAATAACCACGAAAAAGAGACATACAAGGGGCACGCCCATCGAGTTTGCAGCAGAACAATGACACTCATAGTAGGCCAAGGACCAACTATTTTGTTGCTTCTGCCAGAAGAAAGTACAACGCGAAACTGACTACTTCACCAGGCACACCTCATTACGCTACCTATGTTGAAGTGTATGGTGTCGAGGTGCCCTGAACCCAAGGGTCGTCTGCAGGCGGTCAAGCCTTTCAGAGTCTGTGTGTTGTTCAGACCGAAGTCTGTTGAGGCAGTGACCGAGGTCGATGTTGTTGCTCGATGCCGCTTCTGGGGCTTGTATTTCTGTCCACTCTTGTTCACTTCACAGCTTACTTCCAAAGTAGAGATGTTGAGGGATAGTTGGGAGTGAGCCTGGTGGGTCTCGCAACACATCGTGATCTCGCTACAACTACAATCTCCAATGATGAACAATCAATCCATTAACGAGCTCCTCGCTAAACCCGTCGCTACATGTTGCGTCCTACTTGTATAAGAACGCACCTTCGTGCAACGTATTGTCTACAGCTCCCAGAGCTCCGTTGGTAGAGCGCGGCTCTGATAAAGCCGAGGCCCCGGGTTCGAACCCCGGTGGGAGTAGCGATGTCTTTTTCGCGCCGATCTTTTTTGTTTATTCGACACGAAACATGCTCCAGGCGGAGGCGATGGAGGCACACTGCTGTACGGCTGCATGACATGGTCACCACTCAGCGGCCACTATCAGACGCTGCGGTCGATACACCACCGACTGCTCCTTCGAGTTATCGGGTACAAGCGCAAGAAAGACACCTACCGGCAGCTCTATTTCGACCAGACGCTGAAGAGGGTCGAATGCCAGAGCGTTTACGCCACGATCTGACAACGACGCCTACTGTTCGCGGGAGCATTGGCAAGGTAGCCGGACTGATGCTCGGCGAGCTGGCAGGGGGGGAGAAGCGACGTAGGGGGGGGACAGGAACAGAACTGGCCCAAGTGTGTGCTCGATGACCTGAAGGCATTCGGGGCCGACCACGGATCTACGAAAACCGATCCATGTTGTCTCGAAATCTCTGTACCGAAAGACACGGAACCGAGTTAAAGTGGACGGAAGCCGCGAAGGTGGACGGGGGAGTACCCTAGGGAGTACCCTGGCATGCCGCGGTGCTGCAGGGAGCTGAGAGGTTCATGACCTCCTGGCACGAGAAGGAAGCAGAGGCCAGCCGACAACGGGCGCTCAAACGAAACCACAAGCCACCAAACCAATGGGGCCGGAGGGGGGCACGAGACGGACGAGACGGCGAGGGAACAAAGCAAACGAGAAGAGACGGACCGAATGGCGCGATACGTGCCGAATTGAACTTCTTTTAGCCAGTTCCCCCCCCCCCCCAACGCTGCACCATTGCACCAACCCCCACTAGTGATGAGGTACCATTACAATGCATCGCTGGTTGGTGGCCATGTTTGCGTGTTTGCTTGTCGTTAGTGGTCTCTCTACCGTGTGCCTTTTGCTGTCTCTTATTTCTTGTTATTTTCGGCCTGGTCCCTATTTGTCCTCGCTCTTTTCCAATTCATTTCTCTGTCCTTACTGTTTCCTTTTATTTTCTTCTGTTTTTCTCTGTTTTCTGTAATTTTCTCTCTTTTTCTGTGCCAGATGGCCTTGTCTCTGCTTGCGTTGTGAAGTACCAAGATTGAACCAAGGGGGTGTACCTCATTCTCTCCGGCCCGTGATGGTGACTCCTAGTCTCAGTTGTTACCTCGCATCGCGCGCAGAGGGAGAGGGAGTGGAGGACTCCAGGATATCTGTCGTTGATTTCTATTGATTTGCGGACCCCCTCGGGGCCAATTTATTTGAGTGTACCGTTTTAGGGATAGTTAGCCTGCGACCACGGGAATCGACCACGTCGAGTGTTGGATCACTACGGACATACGAAGGTACTGGGAAGAGAGATCGGAACGGTTATCAACGTGAAGACAACAACAACAACAACAACAACAACAATTTAGCGCCATCGACCGCGTCGCTAGATGAAGGCTAAATCCTAAATCCATTAGACTACACATCAGCGCTGACTGAGNTAGCGCCATCGACCGCGTTGCTAGGTGAAGGCTAAATCCTAAATCCACTATACTACACATCTGCGCTGACTGAGTAGTCTGTGCCAGACGGCCGACCAATGGCAAGACAAACGAGCACTCGGCAGGTCGGGTCGCAAGTGTGGCAGCCTCTGGCGTTCAAGCTAAGGCAACACAGGCGAGGCAAGACATCTCTGCCGGCAAACCGCC